TTTTTTCATATTATACCCAATTGATGAATATTGTAATAATTATTATGAAGTTAAAACAATTTTTGATGAATATTTTAAAGAGCTTAATGAAGAAAATTCATCGATAATCTTAGAACAGCCAAATCGCAAATTCAAACTTCCTAAAATTGAGCTTGCCAAACATGACGGTAGTATGAAAGGCTGGTTATCATTTTGGTCATTGTTTAAAAAAAATAGAAGATTTAACTTTAGATCCTGGTGATAAATTTCAATGTCTTATACAGTGTACGGTCGACAATTCTCGTGCTAGAGAACATGTTTTAAGTTATCCGGCAACAGCCGAAAACTATTCAAAAGTCATAGAAAGCTTCAAATTTTGATTTGGCAAAGATGATGTTTTAGTTGAGTTTTACATTAGAGAACTTTTATCTTTAGTTATACAAAACACAAAATCACAAATAGTTTTTTCACTTTCTTCTCTTAAGGGCTTTGGAATCATTAGGTATCACCACTAAAATGTATGATGCAATTTTTTTCCCGTTAGTGGAGTCATGAATTCCTGAGGAGCTTCTTAGAGTGTGGCAAAGACAGTCGAAATTTGGCCTCACTCCGAAAGATAGACTTGATGGTCTGATGTCATTTATGAGAAGTGAGGTAGAAAGTGAACAGAGAATTTCAATAGCTGTTGGCGGTTTTGACTTCGAGAAGCCTAAATTGACGAAAGACAAAATATCGCCAAATGCACATGATAAAGTAGTACCAACTCCAAACGATTTATTTTCTGGTAACCAAAAAAAAAAAAAGGAAAAGTTAGCCAATTGTATTATTTGCCAAAAAATACATGAAAGTAAAGATTGTTTTTTGGCATCCAGGAAGCCTTATGAAAAAAAACTAGAAAAGATAAAACAAGAAAAAGCTTGTTTTTGCTGTCTTAAGGTAGGACACTGTTCAAAAGCGTGTGAAACATTTGTAAAGTGCATTAATTGTGGAAAAAAACATTAGACTGTGATGTGCCCTGAGCTCGAAATCAATCAGAAGTCAAATGAAGAACAGAGAAGTGACAACGAAAAAACTTCTTTATCTAGTACTGGCTGTTCTAGAGAGGTTCTTTTTCAAACTTTATTAGTGAAGTTAAAATCAAACACCAAAGAACGGATTGTTCGTGCGATTATTGACAGTGGCTCACAGCAGTCGTATATTCTAAAAGAAACAGTTCATAAAATGGGCTGTGTGGAAAAAGGCTCAAAAGATTTGACACATATTTTATTTGGAGTTTCCACTATACAGAATGAATCTCACAAATGCTACAACATAACAATTGCAGACTTGAAAGATAATTACAGCTGTACTTTTCAAGTTCTGTATCAAAATGTTATTTACGGAAAGTTGCCAAGACTACGAAAAGGACCTTGGTTGAAAGAGCTGAAAAACCTGAAAATTTGGATAACAGATTACGGTGAATGCCAATCAGAAATTGAATTGCGCATTGGAACTGACATCTGTGGACAACTTTTTCTGGAAACATGTATGAACTAGAATGTGGTTTAACGACTATAGAAACAAAATTAGGCTGGGCCATTATGGGGAGAGTTCCAAAAGAAACTGAAAATGGATTTGCAAGTCTCATCATAAATTCACTCCTTTCTCAGACCTGTAGCATTACAAAACTATGGGATATTGACATTTTAGATATAAGAGATCCTATAGAGACAAAGTCGAGAAAAGAGTTAGAGACAGCAGCATTGGATTATTTTCAGAAAACAGTCACGAATAATGAAAATGGGCGTTATGAATTTCATTTGCCATGGTTGGAAACTAAAGATTATCTCCGGCAAAATAAGTCCGTTGCTGAAAGAAGATGCATTTCAACTTCAATGAAGCTCAAAGCTGAAGGCAGATACGAAGATTATGATGCAGTTTTTAAGGATTGGGATGACTCTAAAATAATCGAATTGGTGCCAGAAGCGGAAATCGGGGAATCTTCTCACTACCTACCACACAGAGGAGTTTTTAAGGAACATTCTACTGCTCGTGTCAGGCCAGTTTTTGATGACTCTTCCCATGAAAAAGGTTTTCCTTCGCTGAAGGACTGTCTTGAAAAGGGACCTAATCTTTTGGAAGAAATACCACCATTGTTAATGAGATTTCGGATGGACAACATTGGTGCAGTATCAGACATTAAGAAGGCCTTCCTGTAAATTTCTGCTGTTAAAGAAGATTGAGACTTCCTTCGTTTCCTCTGGTGGGAAGATTTTGAAAAGAAAAAATTTAAGATTTTTAGACACAATAGAGTAGTTTTTGGACTCACGTGTAGTCCTTTTCTTTTGTCTGCAGTAAAAAATGCAATTCTAGAAGCAGGCCCATCAGATATTAAGGACACTGCTGATAGTTTGAAAAAGTCTTTTTATGTTGACAATTGCATAATTTCAGTACCTAGTCAACGCAAGCTTGAGAAATTTATTCAGGAATCGAACCAATTGTTACATAGTGCATGGTTACATCTGGGACAAACAGTAAGATAGCATCTTTTGCGATTTGAACAATATTATAGAAGTGAAACCTATCCTAACAAGAAGATGTGTTTTGTCTACAGTTCAAAAGATTTTTGATCCTCTTGGTATTTTGTGCCCAGTCACTCTACCTCCTAAAATCATAGTACATCACACGTGGACTCTTAAAATAGGATGGGATACAGAATTACCAGAAATATACCGAAAAGAGTTTGAGACCTGGTATGATGATTTGTCCTTATTGAATGATATCAAAATTCCAAGATGCTTAGGTATGAGTGATTTAAAAACTGAATTTAGTATTCATGTATTTTGTGGTGCCAGTAAACTCGCATACAGCACAGTTATATTCCTTCGAAAGGTCCAAGAAGAAAAGGTATCCTTACATTTTATACAAGCCAAAAGTAGAGTAGCTCCACTACACAAGATGACTATTCCGCGGTTGGAATTACTTGCCTATTGCATTGGAGCACGTCTTTCTTCGATAACAATAAAAGCGATGGATCTAAAAGAAGTACCTATCATTTACTGGACCGATTCTTCAACCGCTCTTTGTTGGATTAACAGAGAAGAGAACTGGGGTGTGTTCATCAATAATCGAGTAAAAGAAATCCGATCATTAACGGAAAAGAATTCATTGAGACACTTACCCGGGGAGCAGAACCCAGCAGACCTATCTTCCAGAGGTTGTTCCGCTAAAGTCTTCTTAAAATAAAAGTGGTGGGAGGGACCATCATGGTTGAAATTGCATGTAGAAGAATGGCCAAAAAATGAATTCAATGAAGAAGAGGAGGATGTTTTAAAAGAAAGACGAAAAATTATTATTTCTTCTCTTGTTTGTAATGATGCAGATGTTCAATAGTACTGCAGTCGTTTTTCTAAGTACTCACAAATATTGAGAATGATTGCTTGGATGTACCGTTTTATCAATAATACCCGAAAAATCAAAATTCAGAAAGAAAGGGTTCTTTCAGTGAATGAATTAGAATCGGCGGAGAAAAAATTAATGGAGCTTGTGCAACGTGAATCATTGAAGGAAGAAGATGTAAAAAATCTTTGCACTTTTATTGACAACGACGGTATTCGCAGACAAAAGACAAAAATCACCAGAAGAAGTGATGATGATAATTGTTTGTGCCCGATTGTTCTTCCGTCAAAACATGAGATTGTGGATAAATTGATGATCGAGAGACACTTGAAGTCTTTACATGATGGAGTACAATTTGTGTTGGCTGATATCCGACAACAATTTTGAATCTTGAGAGGGAGAAAAACCATCCCAAGAGTGATCTTAAAATGTGTTCGATGCAGGAGACATGATTCAAGGGGAGTGGAATCTTTTCCAACGCCCTTACCAGAAGATAGAATTCGTGATTCTTTGGTATTTGAAGTTTCTGGGGTAGATTTAGCAGGCCCGCTTCATTTGAAAGATGGCAAAAAAGCTTGGATTCTCCTGTTTACTTGCGCCGTATATCGAGCCTTGCATCTGGAACTCATTCAAAGCCTGTCAACAAGCTGCTTCATGTTAGGTTTCAGGAGATTCATTGCTCGACGAGGACGGCTCAAAATAATGTACAGTGACAATGGAAGTAATTTCGTTGGAACGGATAATCTGTTGCAATTAATTGACTGGGAGAAAATCATTAATGATGCTTCAATATTTAGGATACAGTGGAAATTCAACCCACCCACTGCAGCATGGTGGGGTGGGTGGTGGGAGAGAATCGTTCAAATGATTAAAAGATTACTAAGAAGAGTACGAAAAAGGAATACATATTTTAAATAAGTAAATCCATTTAAGTAAATCCATCCAAATAAATGTTTTTTTATGACATCTTAGAGGGCATTACACCACAGTATTTACAGTGCAGTTTATCAATTTCAGTAAGAAATACTGGGGTATAATGAATTACTCTTCAATGAAATTAAATCCAATTCAACATTTGCATGAAATAATTCTTACATAAACTGTCATTAACTTTAGAAAGATAAAATATTAAATTACTAAATGTTTGTTGTTGAGACATGTAGGATCACGTTTTAGGAGCAAGTTTGCTGTTATTAAAGATTTTATTGGAATCTGTGATATTACTAATATTTTTAATTATGTCTAGTAATTTCACTGATAATTTTAAATAAAAGAATATAATAAAATACGTTTTAAATGCAAATATATTGAAGCATACTTCTTTGACTAAGGAGATTCACCCCTAGATCCCTGGCGCTCGCAAGCCCTATGATTTCTGAGAATATATGGGTCATTCTCACAAAAACAGTCATTTTCATGTCCCCAGTATATTTTATGTTTGTCTTACAGCTTACGAAAAAAAAAATTTCAGGGAAAGTGTCCTTCGGAATGCAAGCTAACAAAAGAATAAAAATAAAATTATGAATTTTTATTTTTTATTTATTTTAGGTAATTAAAATATACCAATATGTCATTCCCTCACTTGTCCCCACTGCTGATTTAAAAAGAGAAAAAAATTGTTTCTGAAATAAAATTTCTTTTTTTACAAATTCGTGTTTTTTATTTCAGAATACTGAAATATAGAATTCAGAAAATCAATTTTAAATTTAATTTCTGATAAAAATATTAACACAGCACTATTTTAAACTTTGTCCCCAGTGTTTCGCGTCATTCCCTCACAACAATGTTCTTATCACCTGCAATCTTCTTAGAATAAAAATATTTTAATAAAAACTTCAGAAGTTAACAACTGGCATCATAGAACAAAATTGCAGTATGTTTCCATCTTCAACTTAAAGAAGCTTTGCTGTGGAATAAATTTGAATGAATCAAACCAGGTAAAATTTTTTACATTTGTCATTCCCTCATGTCATTTTTTAGAGTAAAATAAAATACAACTTCATCGAGAAAGTGGATAATTATATGTTGCTTTCTTGTATGAATATAATTGTATGTGATTGACTTCAGAAATTAATTAGGCCTAACTGTTATTTTTAAATTTTATTGAATTCGTCATTCCCTCACTAGTGTATAAAGTGAGGGAATGACGCTGAAGTGAGGGAATGATTCAAGATGAGTATATTATTAAATTTTTTTTTGTTCAATCGTGCCAGCCAATTTTATTTCCCAAACCTGTAAAAACTATTAAATATATAAGACTAAATTATAATAAATATTAGATATACTTAGTATGTTATCATTTTCAAACTTTAGGTAGATGTAACTTAGATAAAAACATGTATTAAAATAAAATATCATTCCCTCACTATTAGTGTCATTCCCTCACTTTTTAAATAGTGAAAATAATTAATTTACTTATTAATTAATTTGAAAAATAAATTAAAAAATTAATAAATTAATTTATTAAATTAATTAATTTATTTATTAAATTAATTAATTAATTATTAATTATTATAAATTAATTAATTATAAATTAATTATTTAAAAAATTAATTAATTTAAATATTAAGTATAATTTATAGGATATATACTTTCTTTATAATGCCATTACATATTTCTATTAATATAAAAAGTTTCAGAGCTTTTTATTCACTTTACTTTTTTGGGATTTTATGAACTGAAAAATGTCAGTTTTCGTGAGAATGACCCATATCATGTTTCTAGGTGTTAAACGGATTTATGAATCGAAATTAAACATTATGTAGTTAAAAAAATTTAATTTAAACATGCTAAATTTCTTCCCCGACTAATAGATTTGTTTCCTCAGATTTAGTTGCAACGTCATCCACAAACTTGTATTGTAAATTCTTATTTGATATTCGTTTACTATAAAATTTCTTTAAATGTTTTACGTAGCGTAAGAGATATTAGTAAGCAGTTATGTGTAATTCCTAGAGCATTTTTGAAACATTTTATGTAAAAAATGTGACTACAAGTACTGTAAACAATTTCAATTTACCTCAGCACCAAAACTGGCAACTACTGATCAGCGAAGGTAACTTTCTTACTGTTTAGGGATTGGGAAACGTTGCAAACATATCAAAATGTAGCATTATAAGATAATATAACAGAATTATATTTTAATTAGGGGGTATAGCTTGTGCGGTTAACTTTCAATTTTAAGTTAGATTAAAAATTTCAACAAGATTGTCACGATTGTTAATTTCACTTCTAATATATTGCAAAATTACCTGCGATTAAGATAAGGCTTTGGTATAAAGAGTATAGTAGTTTAAAAATAATTGAAGATAACTTTATTTTTACAAATTTATTTTAAATATTTTCGTTATCAATATAGGACAGTTTAAAAATACTATCGAATAAAATATTAATAAATAGTTTTTAGATTAAAAAATCTTATAAATTTTGTTAGTTATTATTATGACAACCAAAGATTTCTGGCTTTGTTTTGCTAACTACTGATATCAATCAACAAATGAAAGGTTGTACTTTGTGCTATATAGACTAAAACAAAAAGCAACTAAATAAATCACAAATGAAAGTACATAAATGGACATACTATAGTTTCAGTTTCATAAACAAGAACTTTCCTCACTGTTTAAACGTCAAATGAAGGTATAAGTAAAGAGATTTGTAGCAAGTAAAAAACACGTGTAAAGTAGTTTAACTAATAGGGACAGAGGAAACAAGTTTGAACAAGGAAATTACAAGGGGGAGGGGGGTTAAGAAACATGTGTGAGGAGATTTTGCGGGAACCAAAGGGTGCAACAGATTAAATTAAAGTATACTTCAAAATACG